CCCCCCCCCTCTTTCTGAGGACTGAACCCGCAGCTTTCACACTAAGCTACATCCCCCAGGACCATTCCCCATTTTGGTATTTTGAGACAGGATCTCCCTATGTAGACTAGGCTGGCCTTGATCTCATAGCAAATGTCTTACTTCAGCAATCCTGTGTGCTGGAATTACAGTTATGTGCCACCGCACCTGACTCTAGCCCTTTTTTTTTTTTCTTTGCAGAACCGGGGATTGAACTCAGGCCCTTGCGCTTGCCAGGGAAGCGCTTATTCCACTGAGCCATCTTCCTGGCCCTAGCCCTTTTTTTAAAAAAGTTTTTTTTAAAGGGTTTTTTTTAAATAGAGTGTTTATTTATTTTTTTGTGGCCAGCTCAGCCCACCTGGGGGCGGGGCTGGCTGGCATGTGGTGCTGGGGGATCGAACCGCGGTCCTTGTGCTTTGCTAAGCTTGTTCTAAGTAGGTGCTTTAGACCACTGAGCTATCTCACCAGTCCCCAGCCCCCCCTTTTTTTTTGATACAGGGTTTTACTAAATTGTTCAATTGCCCAGGCTGGGCTTGAATCTACAATCTTCTTGCATCAGCACCCCAGAGTCCTGGAATTACAACCATGCACCATCACACCTGGCTCTTCATTGCTCTTTTGAGACATTATGGCAACGTAGGTAGCCTGTTACCATACCCCATTCTATGCATAGTTTGCGGCTGCAGATAAGGTGACTGGATGATGGTAACATCAAGTTCCACTGGGGTCATCCTACCATACTAGTTCCTTCCTATCCTAGTTTCCTGTCATTATTCCTTTAACACATTTCTTGGGGCCAGGGAGATGGCTCAGTAGAACAAGCACTTGCCTGGCAAGCACAAGGGCCTGAGTTCAATCCCTGGTTCCACCAAAAACCCAAAAAAAAAAACCAATCTCATTTCTTGTCCAACCCTTCCTGGCCAAGCTTGCAGTCCTAAGCACTGGAGGTCCCTGAGCCAATTGGTTTCTTTGCTTCATTCCGATGGGCTCCACCTTCGTGAGATTGCTGTGCCTGCCAGGGACCAATCCTCCTTCCAAACCAACTATCCCTCTCTGACCCACACCTACTCCAAGCTGAAAACCTGGTAGGTGCCATCTTGAGAAAAATCACATGAAATTAACAAAACATAAAATAGATGTAATTTTTGTTTTGTCTTGAGACATAGAGCCTTACTTATGTGGCCCAGGCTAGCCTCAAACTGTGGCAATCCTCTTGCCTCAGCCTTCTAAGTAGCAGGATTACAGTTGTGCACCACACACCAAGCAAAATAAATGTAATTGTTGATGTGTCAGGAGTCTTCCTCGTGTGCTTGGGGAGAGTCACATGGAGAGAAAACATTCTCTCAGGCCTTCACAGAGAGCAAATTGGTCAAGCAATGGCTGTGACTCATCCTCATGGCTGCCACTGACAAAGGATCTACAAAGTGTGGTACAGGACTCCAGGACAAATCCTGAGGGTACTTGACTGACCTTATCAGATACAAAAGTTACATTTCTTGTTATATAGGTCTTGTTTTATCTTGGTCTTAATCATCCAACAGAAAAGTATAAAAATGAGTTATATAAAATAAAGCCATATTAATATGCTGAGCTGTAAAAGGCTCTAGTCAACAACTTCTGAGGATAACCCACTAATATTATAGACTGCTAGACAGTGTTGGATTGTTTTGATGAATTCAAACACCTACAGTATCTGGGTGCCAATAGAATACCCACCTCTGACAGGACTGAACTGGAGAGGGGGTATACAGAGGAAGGATCATTTTGTATTTGTATATACAAAATAGTTGGGATAGATATACAGCTACTTTTGTTTAATTCAATGAGAAGAGGTGTACTAATAGTGTTTGGACAGGATATCCTGTCTGCTTCTTGTACTATGAATAACCACTAAGAAGATAACAATGTACAATGTATTGATTATTGAAACTGTCCTATTAATCAGCTTTGAAACTGTCTCATTCATATTTGTTTCTCAATCAAATTTTTAAAAAAAATAAAAAAGAAGTCTTCCATGTAAACCAGGTTTGTCACTGGAGTCTGTGAAAGTGGCACTCTGAGGATGCCAAGTAATTCATTTACACAGTAAACTACTCAGAAATGCAGTAGTCAACGAGCATTTGCCATCAAGCCTTTGAGTGCATAGTAGAAGCTCAGTAGGCACCCACTGAATGGAATCAGCTTAAAATGTTCCATAACATTAGTTGAATGTAAATGAACAGATCATTAGGTGATTCACGGAAGTCTCACATACCCAGAATCTGTCTAGTATTGAAGATGAGGTCCAACTCCTTCAGCCTGGCCTCACTCACAGGACTCCTCATTCCCAAGCTCTACATGTGCATGTGATCCCAACCTCAGGAGTAGAGCACGGCTCAAGTTTCATTGCTGCCTGGCACACAGACTATTCTGATGAAATCATTGGTAAGCTGAAGTAGGTTAGAGATGCTTGTAGGCTAGTCTGACTTGGTGACAGTGGGAAATTATCTACCTGTAGGAGCAGAGGGATGAAACACTGGAAACCATGAACTAGTTCCCTGGTATCTGTGTAACCAAGAGCAAGTGTAACCAAGAGCAAGTGACTTGACCTTTTCAAACTTCAGTTTCTTATTTGTGACATGAATAGGAACAAGGGCACAGAGGGATAAGATGTTATAGTAAGGCACTTCTTGAAAGTATTCCCAATATTTACTTTACCTTTTGCCTTAGGCCTGCATAAGTGTACAGAAGCTTTAGGTTTTGCTGGGGGACTGTGAGGGACTAGAGATCCTCTCCTCCTCACCTAAAGAAGCCAGGGTGTAAGAGGGAACCATGAGTTCCCTTGCAGCAGTAGGCTACACCTGGGGTCTGGCAAGGACCAGATTTGTGAGGAGTTAGGGTTATGGGAATGGGGGCTTTCCTATAATGCAGAACTACTTCAGGACTTGGAGCCAGATTCTGAGGCAGAATTTTCTGGGTGCTGAAGACCACAGAAGAGAGGGAAGTGGAAAACCTGGAATCAAGGCAGCCTTGGAAAAGGCCAAGGAAAGGGCCTGTAAGAACAACAGGTTAATGAGGATCCCCAGGACTCTTTGTGTCCTGTTGCCAGAGAGAGGATTCTCTTATTAATTAGGGCTCGTGGGTGTTATGCAGGCCCTGCCTCCCACCCACACACACCACCACAAGAAAGATTTCCTCTCTCCTTTTTATTTTTTCCTGTTACCTCCCTGCTACAGAACGATATACCCAGTTTTTGCCAGTCCCCTCAGCAGCGCTGGATCTAGACACAAAGGGGTAACAGTGGGACAAGGCCTCTACCTCCCGGGTCAGTTCCCGAAGCCGCCGCCTCACATCTCTGGCATCATACACTATTCGGCCTGAGGAGCGCTGCCTGGGGATTTCAGGGATGACCGCTGGGCCCAGGAAGGGTGGTGGGTCAGGCTGACACTGTGCCACCTCAGCCTCTGCCCCCGCCCTAGTGTTCTTGTGGTTCACAGCCTCCTCACAGGGAGGTGAGGGGTTCACTGGATACACATAGGCCTCTAGGCTCTGCTCTGACCTGATCTCTGTTTTGAGTGGCTTTCTCTCTATAACTGGCTGGAAGCGGATAGTATGGGGAGGTAGCTCTGGAGTGTCCTGAGTCCAGGAATCCCAGGTCTCTGGGGTGGGTTGAAAGCCTTCCCAACAGATTATTGGGTTCTGATATGGGGACCTTTCATCGTCAGTATCAGGGGTCCAAGCTGCTGGACCATGGGCACGGCACAATGGAGAGGCTCGACGGCGTCGGCGACGGGTGGGTGGGGGGGTCACGGTCATTTTCACAGGGTCCATGGTGCATCGAAGATGGACTGCAGGGGAGCTGTGCTTCTTTGGCTGGGTTGGCTTCTCAGGTGAAGATGACTTAGCAGTTTCTGTGGGTCAGGGAGAGATGAAGCTGGATGGAGGTAGACTGGCTCCCAGTAGGAGGGGAAGCAGGCCTCTGGGAGAGAAGCTGCACCCACTATGTTACCTGAGAGGGGAGAAGGGCAAGGGGCCAGGATGAGCTGGGGCTAGAATGCTCGGTTTTTGCCCCTCCTATGCCCAGCCCTACTTACCTTTCTCACAAATGATATGGAACATTTGGCGTAAGATGACACGGAGTCGGCTCCAGAGCTAGGTATAGGAAGACATGGTGACCCTAGGCAGGTCCCTGTCACACTTGTCCCCCAGCTATCCCATCAACACCCTCCCACCTCTGGCCCTGCCCTGACCAGGGTCACCACATTGATGCCAATATTAATGCAGATGATGAGGCCCAACAGCAGTAAGATGGAGTTGCCCACATCCTGGCAGTTGGTGGTGGTGGTAGTGGGGCTGTGATACAAGGCCCACTCAGGATGTGGATGCTCAGCCATGGCCATGGTGGTTTCTAGGGCCACCAGGGCCCTTAGGCCCCCAGCCCACTGTGCCCAAGGTCTAGCAGCCCACCTACCTGACTCAGAGTTTCTTGAAGGCGAGTGGGTGGGTCATAATGATGCTGGGGTTCTCCCTCACAATGTGCCAAGGGTGACTCTCAGAGTACTAGGCCCAAGGTTGACACTTCAGCCTGAGTATAGGCTTGTCAGGGCCAGACCCCTTACCTTTCATTTCTTTCTTGCAGCTTGCCACCTGGACCAGCCCACTGGCCCTCTGGCCTGTTTGATACCTGCCTGGATTGAATCCTACTAGAACTACATCAGATTTTGTTCTCGGAGAAGCCTGGGACCCTGATCCTAACATTCCAATCTCATTACTATGGCATTTTTTTTTTTTTGGCAGAACCGGGAATTGAACTCAGGCCCTTGCACTTGCCAGGCAAGCGCTTATTCTACTGAGCTCTCTCCCCGGCCCACTATGGCAATTTTAACCCCAGTACACACTTCCCCTTCTTCTCAAACCTCTGAGCTGTTCTCTAAGATGGAGGGTCAGAGGTTTAGATCCCCAAGGCTAATTTCAAGGTTACTACTCCAACATTTTAACATAATAGCAGGCACAGTCAACAGTTAAACTTTTATATTTACAATATTCTCTTCATCTTTTGCCAGGTTTAAAAATGTGTACAGAGCCGCAAAGGGTTGGGGTGGGGACATGGGATTGTTCTGGAAAGAGGGGCTGGGCATTGGAGTCCGTGGCTGAATCATGTGGTCCCCCAGCCCCTCCCGTGCCCCTATTCTGAGGGCATCTGCCTATAGGGCTCAGGGCCCAGGTCACTAGCATTTGGAGGGCATGGCTGTTCCAAAAGGTGCTAGACCAAGCAGGGGTAAAGGCCAGAAAAGAACTACGTTTCCATGGGTGGAGGTGGGAGAAGGGACAGTCAAGAGGCAAAGTTCTGGGGCTTAAGACCGAGGTTTCTGGGTCTGGGCGTCTGTGGAAGACAGCACCCATTCCCTGGTTAGGCACTAGCATCCCACAGAAAGTACTACAGTAGATGAGGACTTGCTCCTCCTCTACTAGTGCCCCTTAAAACCCTTCCTTACATCTTTTTTTTTTCCTCCCTCCAGAGGCCCAAACCCAAGGACCTCTGGGCAGTTACCTCACATTTCTTTTCAAATTCTTCCTGTTGGTGTCTGCCCAAACCCAGTCCCCCACGGCCTCCTCCATCTGCTCCTCAACACAGCCGACCTCATTCTTTCCCCAACCTGCCCATAAAACCTTTCTCTGTTCCCTCCCCCTCCTTCCACTGATCTTTTCCTTTAGCCCTGGCAGCCGGGGAAGTGGGGGCAGGTCAAAGAAAGGAGGGGGAAAAGGTTCGTCTGACCCTGAGATGGGGACATTTTCAAAGAAGGAAACAGAGATGGCAGAGAATAGGGAACTGAGGCAGAGAGGGAAGGACATGAGGACGAGACACAGATGTGGGCCCCTTAGCTGCCATATCCCTCTGCCCAGTATCTCATTTGCCCCCACCATTTACCCTGTCCTGGCCTAGGACTGGGTGATCTGTGGCACCTTCTGAATCTCCTCACCTCATTCAAACCCACCTACCCAGTTTGGCACAGATGAGCAATGGTTTGAGAACCATGGGAAAGGCTGTCCTCTAGCTCCATGGGCTTTGGTCAAACATGCATGGCTTCCGTGGATGGCACTTGCCACATCCCTCCACCCCCAAGTCAGCATCTCCGGAGAAGGGAGGTCCCCAGGCCTCCCTCAGGGCTGGTATACCCCCTCAGCTTCTGTTCATTCAAAATCTATTCCCACCTGCTGTGTGAGGAGGAATTAAGTGCAGGGCCCAAGGCTGGGGGATGCAGGGAAGTGCTGGGAACAGAGGGACCCTCTGCCTGGGAAAACACACATCCACATGCAAGAACATGTTTCCACTCAGAGAACTGTGTCCTGGACCATGGAAAGTAAGCTTCCAGGCAGCACCGGGACGCACAGATCTCCTTCCGTCCCCCTGGCAGGAAATCTGTGTCTGTCGTCTGTGGAAGGTGAGAGCCTCCCTGGGAGAACGTGCTTCATCTGACTTGTGCCATGGGGGAGAAACATGCTTCACTGGGGCGGGGGGGTGGGGAGCAGGGGTGGGAGGGCTTGTGATTTCCTTGCTGTTCCCCAGGGACCACCCTGGGTTGTCTGGTGGCCAAGGGTCACTGTATGTGAGCACATCACTTCCAGGGTCTCCAGGGGATGAGGAGGGGAGGAGGTGGGAGAAGGCATGAGGGATCAGGATTCTGGGGTACAAATCCCCGCAGAAATTATTTGAGGGGGCCAACATGTGTCCAGGGCGGCAAAAAAACCTCACCCTGCACATGGGAAAACACCCCCTCATGAGGAAAGCACGCCTCCACGTGGGAAAAGACTTCCACATTTCCGCACACCGAAGACTGGTGTCCCAAAGGAGGGCAGAAAACACCCCCCTAGTTGTTCAAAGGCCCAGGTCCAGAGAAAAGAATGGGCCTCTTTGCATGGGAAAAACACACATCCCAGTGAGGAATCCCATGTCCACCTTAACGCTGCTTGATGACAAGTGACAACTCCACAGGAGAAAAGCCCGTTGCCAAGTCCTCCTCCCTTCCTTTGGAGTGGCTGGGACTGGGGAAGGATGGGGAGGAGGGCCTCCCCAAGCCGCCCCCTATACCCGAGTGGTAGAGTGGGGATGGGGTAGCGTGTTGTTGTGGCTGGTAGCGGTGGGAGGAGGTGGTGGGAAAGGCCCAAAGGGATGGAGGGATGGGGGTGGTGGAGGAGGAGGTGGCCCCAGGCCACTGGGCAGCAGGGTCAGGGCCCCAGGGGCTAAGAGAGGCACATCGTCTGGTGCCCGGCGCAGGGCCAGGGTGTAGTCGGGCGGGCAGGCAGGGCGCAGGGCCTCAGCAGGGTCTGCCCCGACGCCACCACCCCGCTTTAGCTGCAGTGACACCAGCTCCTCTTCTGGTGGCAGCTCACGGCCAGTGGCAGGAAGCAGAGGTCCCCCGCCAGGGACACCAGAGCCTGAGCCTCCAGGTGGGCTAAGCCGCCTGCACCGCAGCTCCTGCCGCCGGTCCCGCTTGTAGTAGAGGGCGGCAAAGGCCAGGATGTTGAGAAAAAGGAGGGAGGCACCCACAGCCACGGTGACACTCAGCTCGGTGGAGTAGTCTCGTGAGTCTCCAGGGAAGCGGTCGTAGGCCCTTGGCCCTGGCTCAGGCTCAGGCTCAGGTGGCAGGGTAGCAGGTGGTAGGGGTCGTCGAGTGCCAGGGGCACCAGGGAGTGGGCGAGCTGGCCAGTGCGTGGCAGAATGAGGCATCCGTGTGGTGGTGGTGGTGAAGAGATCGGTGTGCAGATTGTGCAGGTGGGGAACAAGCTCCAGCCAGAAAGCAACCTTGTTGGCACGGTAGTTGTCACGCACACGTGGCTTCAAGCCAATGTGCAGGTACTGCTTCTCCTTGCTGTTGAACTTGCTCCACACCACCTCTTCAAAGCGATTAGGCTTGGTGTGAATGAACTTGGTGTCCTGGGGCACCGGCTGGTTAGGGTCACTGTGGGCATAGGAGGGCAAAGGAAAGGAAGAATGAGGGCAAGGCTCCGAAGGAGGATGAAGTGGCAGAGGGGAGGGAGAGAACAGAAATGCAGAGGCAAGAAGACAGCAAAAACACCTGGGTGTGGTGGGACACGTTTGTACATAATCCTAGTACTCTGAAGGCTGAGGCTAGAGGACCATGGAGAGTTTGAGGCCAGCCTAGCTAAAAAAAAAAAAAAAAAAAAAAAAAAA